CCTCTCTCAAGTGCTTATCGGATGAACTTGCAAAGTCAGAGGGACTGAGACAAGCGCCTCCCCAATGATGATCTTTTGACTTGGGAGACTTGTCTGGTCTTTCATATAGCCTGGACTCAAGCCATATAGGGCTTTACAAATCAAAATTAGCAGTTTGAATTGAACATAGAAATGAACTTGAGGCCTGAGTCCAGAAGTTACATCCCCCCCACACAGATCAAATTTCGATAAGGAGCCCAGTTGCAGCCTCTTACACCAGTTGCAGTTTTGAACCATCTTCAAACGTAGCACCACATAAAACATGTTACAATAATCCAGATGAAATGTAATTGTGTTGCTGTAGCCAGATTAGGTATCATTAGGAATGGGCACGGCTGGTGCACAAGCTTTAACTGTGAGAACACACTCCTGGTTACCAGTGAAACCTTGGTATCCAGACTCAGGGTTGAATATAGGAGAACATCCAAGCTTCAAACTTTTGTTTTCAAGGTGAGCACAACTGCATCCAACATAGACTGACTATGTTTTTCCAGATCTACCATTTGAGGAGCATCTCTGTCTTGTCTAGTTTAAATTTCAATTTATTTACCTTCATCCAGTCCATTACTGGCTCCAGACACTGGTTTAGGATCAGATCTGCTTCCTTGGATTTAGACATTGCCTCTGATAAAATAGTGTATACTGTACTAAGTTATAAATAAACCCTTTAATGCTTGGAAAACAGCAAAACACGCTTAAATTTGGTATAAAAAGAGCAGGCTTGGCCGCCAGCTAAAGATAACAGGAGTCACAGTCCATCTGAAGAGCCACATGTTGCCCAGTCCTGCTCTAGGCTAATGTGCAAATCTTGTGACGTCTTCCAATTTAGAGTTTGATGACTTTAAAGCCATCTGTTTCCACAATCCATATTTGATGGTATTTAGGGTGCCATAAGACAATGAAGGTTTACTGCAAAAGACTACTCTATTTTAATTTCTACACAGTGATTTTCTTACACAATAAATGTGTAATTTTTCCATGAATTTAGGAGATCTTTTTAAAGATGGTGCTTATGTTGCTGGGCAATCACATTTATTGAACACTCAAATAGCTATACCATGTACCTCTGAAAATATAACTCTTAGTGGTTTAAATTGCCATGTAAAACATGGCTGTGTTTGGCTCAGGAACCTTATGGGTTTGGTTTGAAAGACTCTTTGGGACAAGATCATGCTGTGCAACCACACATTCTTTCACCATTACAAGTATGAGCCTCAAAGGCTACAACATTTTATTACAAAGGAGTCATGATTGGGAGCATTTAAAAACAGATTAAATGCAGGGAGAATAATAAATGATTAACTAGGATCTATTCTAAAGGGCTACTAGAGGGAACTCAAATCCTTACATTTGTACAGAATTGACTTTCTTTTTTAATAGATTTATGCTTTTGCAACTCACTTTCAAGAACCTTTGAAGCTACAGTTAGCTGCTATCTCCTTTGACTAGCTCTATGCATTGAGAATTGGAGGCACTGTTTTATAGTGGTTGTACCCCATCTTAAAGGGAATGCCCAGAAAGTAGCAGTGGAAGACTGTACCTGGCTTCCCTGCCATCCAATAATGATGGTAGGGTATACTGTGAGTTACTACTTTATCTCCAGTGCTCTGTTTCACCTGAATTCGGAGATACTATGTCTAACCTAGATTGGACTTGAAAGCAGGGCTGGGCTGATTGATGACCAATAAACCCAATCCTAGTAAATTATACTAACCAATAATGAGCTGTTTCTGGTTATGGGAACTGAGTGAACAGAATTGCAGGAGCTCTTAAATTCACACCTGTGAATATGGGGATTAAAAAAGGAGAGGTGGCAGTAACCACCCTTTGAAATGTTCACACCTGTGAATATGGGGATTAAAAAAAGGAGAGGTGGCAGTATCCACCCTTTGAAATGACCACACTATGTCCAATATTGACAACTGTGTGCTTTCAGTTTTATAAATAAATAAATAAATAAATATTGACAACTGTGTGCTTTCAGTTTCTGAAATTAAAAATTCTGTTTTTCTCCAGCACTTACAACCTGGATTGTTTTAATCCCAATCTTTATGAATATTTGCAATTTGTAGCATTGTTGAGTTCTGTCATTACATTTTCATCTCCCATAATACTTTGTAAACTGCCTTCGGATTTTTAATAGGAATTGATATGTAAATATATAAACAGTGGATCAGTTATTTTTCACAATCTGGTAAGAATCTGTGTGGCACACTGAAACCAACACAACGAGATTTCACTCACAACCTCAAATTCTACCATTTTCTTTCTGTTGGACTGCAGCAGGCAAGTTGGGGACAGAGATATTAGTTTTAACACAATATTAAAAGTGGCCTGTGAGAATATAATTCAAAAATATTAATATTAATACTCATGTCCAATTATGTTTAGTGAACTATAAATTTGATTCCCTTAAGGAAGCCACATCCTAGAGTTTGCAAAAATCTGAGCAGAGCTGTTAACAATGGGATCTTTCAGAGGTTATTCTTTAATGGGGTTCCTCTAAGTTGGAAGTGGTTTTGTGGCACCTAACAACAAAAACAGAACCATAAATTACAGGGAAAAATGTTTGATCACAGTTCTTTACAAAAGATAAATGAACTTTGAATATTTAAGTTGCCTTGGAAAGTTGTATTAACTTTCTATTTACTTAATTCTATGAAACATTAATTTACAGGCATTTAAACATTAATTTACAGGTAATTTATTTTATTTACTCATGGGAAGCTATAAACAGAAGTGGCACTAAAAACTACAAAGGAAATATCTAAAAGCCCAGTTTTTACATATCATTAAGAACAAAAATTAAGAATAACTCGAGGGAAAAAAAAAACTTATATCCCAAGTTGTTTATTCATTCGGGATAGAAACCTGCTAGAGCTCTACTAAAAAGTCCATGTTGTAATGATGTGTTCATTCCGTTTTGTTTTAGTCAGTAGTAGTACCTTACCAGAGTACCTTGTGTTTGTGGAGATGGGGCTCACGTCCCTCTTCTCTTAATTTTCACCATCACCCTAAATATGTTTACCTAGTCACAGTAGCAGTAGTAAACCCCACTAAGGCTAGTACGTCGTGTTTGGTTTCAAGCCTTAAGTAGCCTTTAGCACGGAAACCATTCTCGGCCAGAAAGGTCTTTCCATTGTTAGGATGGTGCCTGTATAGTTATTTTCCGTCCTCGCCCACCTCCCGCCTCGCAACACCTCGCAGCCTTGCTGCCCTGTTGCATCAACTTCCTGTGTAAAGCTCCTTGCTTTGGGATGAGGATGGTTCTTGTTCTTTCTCACACCCCTTTCCCTCCTCCGGTATGTCAGCTTCCTGTGCAAAATCCCGTACGTTAGCTAAAGATGCTGGTGTTGCCGCTGCTTTGGTGCATCAACTTCCTGTGCAAAAGCCCCTTGCATCGGGGCGATTGTTCACGTTATATGGAGGTCCTTGGGTGCTTTTTTTTTTTTGGTTTTTAAAAAAACTCCTGTCCTTGGTGCATCAACTTCCTGTAGAAAATATTTTGCAAATGTGGAATGTTTTGAGGACACGATCTGATTTGTTTATTTGTGGCTGTTCTCCTCCTGCCCTGGTGCATTAGCTTCCTGTACAGAAACCTCTGCGTTGGGGCGAGGTGGGGGTGAGCGAGCGAGCGAGCGAGCAGGGATGCTTGGCTATGTGTTTCTCCTCATTCCTTGGTGTATCCGCTTCCTGCGCAAGAGCCACTTGCGTTACGGGGAGAGGAAGAAAAAAAAAAGGAGATACACTACTAGTCGCGGCTCCTGCTTTCCTCCTGCAGTTGCTCCCGCCACCTCCGCCTGGCTGCCCCCCGTGCGTGGTCCCTCCCTCCGCCCCTTCTCCGCCTGCCCCGGTGCGTGAGCCTTGCCAGCCGCCGCCGCTGCCGCCGCTCTGCGAGAGTTTGCTGCCCTACTTCACTCTACTTTAGTTTCACTCACTTTACATCCGGGTTTTTTCCCTAGGCAATGGGGCCGCAGCACAGCCCGTTCCTTAGGCAAAGGGAAATAAATTCGCTGCACCGACACGTCAAGTAGTCCCTCAGGAGGAGCCTTGAGGCGCCCCCCCTCCTCCTCTTTCCCGAGGAGGGCCGGCCGCCCCTCTTCCCTCCTTCACAGGGAGAGAGGGGGGGGGAGCCCGGGTGAGGGGGGGGGGGCCCGCCTTCCCCCACCCGCTT